GTCAAAATCCCACCTCCTACAATGATCACATGAACAAATTGTAGGAAACGATTTCACATGTTTGACGAAACGTATATATAGGAAAATGTATACTGAACGAATGTAAGGGGTTTTTATATTCTACTTAATAAGCAGTTGGTCAGTGATACGAATCTGGCTGTCAAGACAACAGTAGTCTGACGAAAAAATAGCTGTCAAAAGCTTAACAATCTTCAAGATATGTCTGTAACATGAAGCTAGGTGAAAGACTTACTAAGGGAACAACCATCGTATTCAAGCTAGGAGAAACTGACAAAAGAGTATCTCTGGTCAAATTAGAGTTCATAGATCTACTCGTAATCACATGCCAAATAAGCTTCTCTTATGAGGTGAAAGTACACAGACCTCTTAGCTTACAAGGAGCTATAATCCTGATTGCATGTAGAGCTTACTATGGAAGGATTATGGCTCGACTGCAAATGAACTCACTGAACCGGCTGCACCGGCGGAAACAAGTGTAGGACAGGGGACACATTGACAAACATTTCCGCAAAATTAGCAGAAAGAGTAGAAAGTAGAAGTAGAAATGAGTAGAAATGTGTCGTGCCTCGAAATGCTGCCAAATGAATAGTTTTATGCTGGAAATGGGCTCACATGCAATTTACAGAGCCACTAATTGTCAGAATGATAGAAAGATGTGTCGGCAATATAGGGTTTCGGCGAAACAAGTTGCGCATCATGGCAGCTTCAAGAAATAAGGGAATTGCCTTTTTAAAGAGTGATGGAAGCAGTGAGTGTGAAAGTGAATCAATGAGAATGGTTATGTAAAGCTTCAAAAAATGAAGAAAATGCTCGTTTTCTTAACTTTCGAGCTATCCAAAGTTAATAAGCCCAGGTAAGCAATATAGTTAGGTCTAGGGTTCGGCGGACCAGCTCTGAGCAAAAAGCAAATGATCTGTAAACCGAGGAAGTTAACGTTAGACATTTGCTGGTGAAAAACACAGATAGGCGCAAAGTATGCGTAGTATCGGTACAAGTACTGATTTGAAGGCCATATAAGTAGATAATATCGCTGGCTTTGTGATTTTTGATATTAATGACGGTTTTCTTGTGTTTTCAGTTTTGAATTAGCGTCCCTTTTCCTACTCCCAGCTGTTGTACTAAACCTAGCATGAGCTTCAGTAATTGGGCCAAAAATAAGAACTGCATAATTTGAGATGCGAAATGGAAAAAATTGTCAGAAGAATTAAAGTACTTGGACTCTGTGTCACAATACTATACAGGCCACTCATCGCTAATAATGGTGAGCGATTTTGACATATTGACGGCAGTGTCCACGAACAATTCTGGGCAACTAGTTTCTTGCGCAAAAAGTGACCGAGAGGCCTGAAGGCCTGACTAAGCGACTGCTCAAGTCTAGCCTCACAAGGGAAGTGTCAGAAATCGCAGTGGCCATTGGAGATGGGATGGGTGGTGTGACACGTCACCCGGAAGGGCATTCTCAAAACCACCCTCGCTAGCTGCAGAACTGCTCTGTGAGGGGGGCTACGGGCGTTTTTCCGCGCGAGATCCAGCGCGCCTTGCTCGTATGCGACTGCCACCCTCAGCCAACCGTAGGGGTGTGTCGCAGTGGTAAGTGTGCTGACCGCCGTGAGGATGTTTGGAGGTTCGAGATCCCTGTTGGACAACTTTTTTGCAATTTACATACAAACTCCTAAAATGTGTACATTAGTGACCAAAACGTGTTTTACCCCTTTACTGGTGCTTAAAAGCAAAAAAAAAAACACACGGCTAGACATTTACTCGTGGATTCTTGGAGCTCTTTTAAAGATCATGAGGCTATCAAGTCCGTGACTCCAGAAGGCAATGATATCAAAATAATGAATATCCCACCAGGAATCACTTCGTTAATTCAACCTCTCAACGTCTATTTCTTTTTACCCTTCAAAGGAATGTATAAGAGATTTACCATACACGTTATTGCTCATGATCTTTCCTTTTCTGTCCATTCTCGTGATTCCAATTTGCGCCTTCTCTCTCTTATCTACCATCAATTTCGGGCTCCCCGTTATAGAAACTTTCTGAAGTACTCCTGGTTCAAAGCGGGTTACATCAGCACGCATCCAGATTCAGAAACACCTCTACAATACTGCTTCTCTTCAAACATGATAGGAAACTGTGATGAAAATTGCACCGAGGTTGCCTCTATAAGATGCTCTTATTGTGAAAAACTTTTTTGCTTCAAGCATTTTGTTCTAGAATATCATATATGTGACAGGGATCTTACTACAGGTTAAAAATGCATTTTTCTCGCTTATTCCACTGTATTGTCTCGTACGCTAAATCTGACAATAAAATTTCATCTAAATGAATGCTTCACCACGGTGCAGAAGGTCTTCGCAATATCATTTTTTTGCTTTTAAGCACCAGTAAAGGGGTAAAACACGTTTTGGTCACTAATGTACACATTTTAGGAGTTTGTATGTAAATTGCAAAAGAGTTGTCCAACAGGGAACTCGAACCTCCAAACATCTTCACGGTAGTCAGCATACTTGCCAGTGCGCCACACCGCTAAGGTTGGCTGAGGGTGGCAGTCGCATACGAGCAAGGCGCGCTGGGTCTCGCGCGGAAAAACGCCCGTAGCCCCCCCCTCACAGAGCAGTTCTGCAGCTAGCGAGGGTGGTTTTGAAAATGCCCTTCCGGGTGACGTGTCACACCACCCATCCCATCTCAAATGGCCACTGCGATTTCTGACACTTCCCTTGTCAGCTATTATGATCATTGCTTGAGGTTATCATCCAGCTGCAATGTGAACCATATTTTTCACTATACTCGAAGACGATAATGGTCATCTCGGATGTACAAGCTTATCAAACGCAGTGTCGCCTGCATCAGCATCTCCACTCCCGCGCTGGACTCTGCGTCTCTTCCGTGAACATGCTCTCTCATCACTTCCTATCGATTGAGGCTCCGCCTTTCCCACCTCGCTAGGGAAGTGATTAAAGAGCATGTTCGCGAAAATGCAGAGTCCAGCGCGGGAGTAGAGATGCTGATGCAAGCGACACTACGTTTGATAAGCCTTATACGTGCTTCTGGGGTAGATTGTTGGGATGGGAAATTCACGGTCAGGGACGTTGTATTAGCTGCCCTTTCAGTCGCTCAGCTAAAACGAACCTCCCTTTCGGCGTCCACAAAAGAAGTCCAGTGCCCGGATTTGCATGGAAACTGAATGTAACAGATGCATCGTCCCTGTAGGAATAGAACTGAATGATGCAGCGTATGATTTGTGCGGTCCTCAAACTCTCTCCAAGGCGAAGGATATCTCTGGATTTTTCCTCGTCGTCTTCATACTCTAGTGCTGATGTGATAGATAAACAAGTCTCATTAAATCACAAAGCTAGGGAGACCTGATTATACCTTCAAAAAATCTAAAAGGCTAATCAGTTCATACATAGACAGCGTGCAGGAATTCTCAACTTCCATTTTGTTCAAACCCAAACCTTTTCGTGGCGTTGTTCCCAAACATGGCGTTTCATTCGAGGAGATTGGCCTCTCAAGGAAGTGGGCGGGTTTCACGAGAATGTTACTTTGCACGTCTATTCTTTCCTTTTAGGGGTAGTGTTTGGAAAACAGGTTTGCCCAGTACTTTTAGATCGGGCAGTACTTGATAATGATAGTTGCCGAGAATGTTCAAATCTGTCCCGACGTTGCCTTCAATCTCAGATGCGTTAAGCAGCAATGTCTTTTTTATGGTGAAGAACAAATTTGGGCATGAAACGCTTGAGCAGATGTGTCACAACATTTCAAACCATGTATATGGATGAGCTCGTAGTGAGAGACGCATAGTGCAAATTATGTAGGTACTAGATGGCAAACCCGGCTCCGCCCGGGGCCAAACTTTGCACACATACTCGGGGCAGGGAGCGTGTCATAGTCCACTTTTCGTTATCGATCGATGTCGATTTCACCGATTTTTTGCAAAATTTGAGCTAGGGGGCTGGAATTTGGCAGGGGGGTGTAATCGAGCATGCTGATCACCCCCACGGGGGTGATCAGCATGTTCGATTACGCCCCTCGATAAAATCGATATCGATCGATAACGAAAAGTAGCCTATGACACGCTCCCTGCCCCGAAGTATATGTGTGCCAAGTTTGGTCCCGATCGGTTCAAAAATAAAAATTTCTATTCCGCACATACGTACAGACAGACATACAGACATACATACAGACAGACATTCAGCTTTATATATAAGATTAGTCAATGGAAGTTGGCCTAAAAGCTGAGATAAAAAGCAGCAAAAGTAAATTCAGAGTGATGCGCTTTGCAAGAAATGAGAACGCATAGCACAAGCAACAATGTTGTTTGTGATATTCTTCCCTGTGTAATTTGAAAAACTCATCAATTTAATTTGGAGCTGGTAATGAAGCAGCTTGCGATATGATCAAATAAAAAATTTCAAATCAATTATCTTGTTCTGCGCTGTCCATTCTTCATCCAGCTTAAAAAAAGCTTTTCTACCAGATGCATGTATGTAGGCATAAATAAGATAGACGATCGAGGAGGAGCCTAGGTTCCATGAAATTTGAAATGTTGAGTTCTGAAAAGATACATTCTATTTGCGTCTTTTACGCGAATAATCATCCTCTGCATATTTTTGTGCTAATTTGAAAATTTGCTTCCTGTAGAAAATGAATTTTATTTGCGAGCTTCTCAATCAAACTGTCATAAAAGCTGAAAATCTGTTGCCTGTTGAACACGATTCTTTTGGCAGCTAATCAACAGGAGTACACATATAAACAACTATGTCAAATTCAACGGATTAGCTGAGATCGCTTCAAAATCCTTTCCTATTCATGACTTTTGTCTGACCCAGAACTAGTTTTTCCCGCTTTTTTGACATGACCAATCCCCTTCTTCATGTTCTGGTCATTTTGGTGCTCGTCGACCAAGGATTAAGGTCGAATCCGAAAATCCGTTATAAAACAGCACAACGTTCGCGTCAAATCGTTTGTACTCCGTCATGTTCGCACTATTTTGGCTGTTATTTCCTGCAGTGGTTCGTTAGAGCACTTTTTTTGAAAATTTGAGGGAAATATTGACTGCAGAGTTGCGAGGATTCGAGGAAAGAAGCTGAGAGGGTGAGCGAACAATTGGATCCTAGTATTTACATCAGACAGAATTTATTTGGACAAGGACAGGTTAGTAAAAAAATTTTTTGAATGGTGAGGATACGACGTGATTCTAGGATCTACTCAATCAGAGACAGTTTGGAACGATGTCTCAAGGTGAATATTTTACAGCCACTCTTATTTCCGACAATCAAACGTCTGTCAAATTTGTTGCTGCCCTTTCAACTTCCAGGTTAAATTAGAAGATGCTATGCCTAAGTTTGCTTAAAAATCAAAAGTAGATAATTGAAAAAGGACAAAACTATGTAGCAGAGGAAGTTAGCATTCTAACACAGAGAATTAAGGCATAAGATCTACCGCTAGTTCAAAATATGTGCTCTAAAAAGGGGAGCTTGTCAATCTTTGAACACTTTGTAATCGCTTCAATCCGCTCACAGTCACTATCTACGATGAGATTTGGCAAAGACTAGACGATAAGTCTTGTTTATAGGATAAGCGTAGGAAAGATTTAGCGCAGGATAAAGTACACAAGTGATGTGCTATGGGTGGATACTGAGAGTGCAAGGGTTGATTACTCGCAACACGGCTAGTACGGACCTCAGAAATATCTCGAATCGTACAATTTAAACTTGTTTGAATTTGGCATTCAATATTATGGTTCAAACCACTAAAAATTTGCATATATACTGTCAGTCGCTACCTGAGCATTTTTGATAAGCAATCAATTCATATACTAAATGGTTTTACACGCTTGGACGATTTTTAGCAAATTACCATTCAAGTCTTCACAAACGTTTATCTCACCTTTTGCTTTGGTCAAGATGCTACAGTAAAAATAACGTTTACTCATGGAATCAGAGAGAATTTGATGAGATAACAAAATGTTAGATTTTTCAACAAGGGGAGAGCAGAAGTATCAGGGGAAGAGCCTAATATTCGTATGCATGTAAGTTTTTATTACCAAAAAAAATTTGTACAATTTACTTAAGATGTAAACCTTGAGACATTTACACATTTTAGTTAATTTTGCTTTCACTTGCAAATGCTCGTCAAAAGTGCCTAATCCAAATGCACCGCCACCAGTGGATGCAAATCAAATGGCGCAGCAGCAGATACAGCAGCTACAGGTGATTTTAGTACTCTCTAATTAAAACGAAGACACAGATAGAAAATCATTTATGTGGCTGGTCCCAAGAAATATTATGACGCAAAAATAATGGTTGGTTATAGCAACGCGAACTGTTCCACTACGGCTTGTTAGACATTAGCAATATTTTAAAAGGCACTTTATAGAGCAAATACCTTGCTGCTAAGGCTGTGGAGAAAAAAAATAACCTGCGCGCGATATGATACGCCAAAAATTGTTATCGGGTAGCATCCAGGTTTATTGCATTGCTGCCAGCTCCGTTCCAACCCGTGCATACGTGAAGCACAAGGTACTGATTGTGTGTAGAGGACCACATGTCGCCTGAAAGGAGGTCCCGCTCGGGCATCTGCAACAAATGCGCACTTCTTGCATGTATAAAGGTAAGTATTTGTTGCAGGAGTCCGCGCAGGACCTCCCTTTCCGATAGAAGTCTTTTATCCATTAATGCGCGACTTTCCGGCACGGCTCTAGCACAGAGTTGGAACAGCATTGTCACGAACAACTCTGAATGCAACTTTAAATTTAACACTTGTGAAAGGGGTAGCGTCAATCATGCCTTTCAGCATTAATTATACACGATTCATGACACGCAAAGACTGGGCGCCGTTGCGTCCTCCCAAAGTAGTACGGCATGAGAGAGACAGCAGATGGTAAGAGAAACGAAAGAGCGCTCGATCGGAGAAAAGCCGATACGTCCGCAGTCTTTGCGTGTTGTGAATGGCCTATACTTTGTTCTTTTGTGAATTTTAGAAAACTGCAGATTTTTTCTAGGAACAAATTCGTAGGCAACAAGACATCATCAACAGGGCAAATCAGCAGAAGACCGGAATTGAGCAGTTCAGTAAGTCATTGTATAAAGCACTCTTAGTACGAGCGTTGATAATCCTCAATAATTACGTAGACCATGTTGAGGTGATTCCAAAGCGGAAGCTCTACACGTTCTATTCCATACCATACTGCATAAATACATGAAACTACGCTAGGTCATCAATTTTTTTTTGAGGTCAACTCATTCGCAGAAAGTTAGGACAAACATTTGCTAAAACGCATAGAAAATTGAGCAATAGAGTAAAAGCGAAAGCGTCACGTCACCTAGTATTATGTAGCATCATCACTACTTTAAAAAGAAAATGTATGCGTGTATAGCTTGTTAGCGCAAATTGTTTGAGAAGAATCAGTAGAAAGCTTTGTGATGATTAAAATTTGAAAGTAGTTTAGCCTCCATGGAAAATATTATAACTAGCAATTAGAAACAGAAATAGAATGCAGAAAAAATGTGCCGAAGTTCTACATTTGAACAGAATAAATAGCGAGACACAGCTGTCTCGGGAAAAACGTGCAAAATTTTTGCAGTGTCCCTAATGCTCACCGTAGATTTGCAGTTATTAATATATTTTTGAAAGAACAAACAACGCAATTTACCTCAGCCAGATTTCGCCATTCTTCTTAGAATCGCGCTGGAAGAATTCAGTCACAAAATGTGAAAATCAAGAACAATTTGAACACTATCTTTTGTCAGGATAAGCTGTCAAACTCGACACTAAACACTTGAAGGCAGTGTCTCACCAAAAATTAGTTGTCGAGATTTTTGCATTTTGCAAGCCTGTCGGACCCTGTCTAGCACTGCATGGGCTTAAAATCGCACGAAGTTCCCAAACACCCCGTTTTCTGGAGGCCCCGCCGAAGCAACATGGACGAGTTGTGCCTTCCAACTTCAGCCTCAGCCACAGTGACAGCAACAGAGGGGAGGTGGATGCCAAGTGGACGGACATGTTCGAACACGTAAGGGGGGAGACCGAAGGAGTCGTCCGCGCGTACCAAATCGCTCTCCGCGTACCACTTTGAGCGAATTTTTCTCAGCGTGGAGGGGGCCAAATTGAGTGGGACTTGTTGTAATGGCCTATTTAGAGGTCCCTATAACAGAAAATGTGAAGATCCGCGTGACCTCAATTTTGGTGAGACAGTGCCTTTAAAGCATGACATCTCTGCTGAACGGACACAGTGTTGAAAGTTGCTGCGCAGAAGGTGTCCAAGACACTAAATCTTACATATTATCCATTTGAAATCCAACCCTTTTTCACCTGCAGTCAAAAATAAACATGTTTCATTCAAATTATTATTTGTTATTGTCTGTGGTTGCTTGCACGCTCATTTCAATATGCGCACAATTTGCTTCTAATGGATGATGTTAATGGAATCCAATCCGTGCACTTTAAAATTTGAATGATGACAATTTTCGGCCCTTCTTGCTTGTGAGAAGCATATTAAAAGTACGACTCTATAAATTGTGCAGTTTCAAGTTCTAAAATGTTGCCCTCTTCATGTGGAGCAAATCATATCAGCCAAAAACTCCTTAATTTTTTGAGAGAACAACATCATATAACGTTACAAATTCAGGGAATTTATCGGACCGTTTACTCTTCAGAGGTCCCAGCAATAGAAATAATGTAGGGTAAAAAACTATTTAGCTCAACTTATCCAAGCAGCTAATTCTATGGAGTGCAGCTGTACCAGTGATGATTCTTTCTCGGTTCGAGATCGCTTCCGCCCATATGGAGATTTCGAAACGCAGCAGGTAATATAAAATATTTTCAAAGTGCTGCATAGTGCGAGTACGTGGATTTGGGATAATGTTACTTTGAGCAGCCTTGTGTTTGTCCCCATCAAGCGGACAGGACTAATGCACATCAAAAAAGCTTGGATTGTAATGTATCCTTTGATTCAACTGCTTGGCACCTGGAAGGCGGGGCTTCGTGACCTAATTAAGACTAGATAATCATCGGAGAGCGTCGCTGGCGCCAACGGCCTTAATTAGGTCACAAAGCTCCGCCTTCCAGCAGCCAAGCCAGTTGAATCAAAGGCTATAAAAATTTTTTATTAGATCATAACATAAGTTTTGTCAAATTTGATTAAAAAAAGGCCTTGTAATTCTTTTGAATTTTTTTTTACTCTTTTTCAGATCTCGTGAGAGGTTATACATAGATTTTTGACATACATCTTCCACGCATAAAAAACACATTTTTTGATTTTCGATATCTTTCGTATTTTTTGGAAAATTCTCACGCGGTATCGAGAAGCTCGAACGTAGAAGAGATCAATAAATTCAAAAAAGATCAAATGGAGTTTAAAGTACTGTCACAGAATCGCCTCTATATTTATTATAACGTCCGCAGAGGTAAAAATTCAGGCAATGCATAGTCTTCTTTCCCTTCTTCCATTCTTATATCAAATTTGAGACTTTGCGGAAGTTTAGAGTTCTTCAGAAAAAAGCGAAGAAAGCATAATAAAACTCAAGTAATTGACAGCACCTCCATACATAATTTAATTTTGTTATACCAGCCAAATCAGGGACTGGGACTGCAACTTCCTGGACAATATCAAAGCAATGGCTTCAGAAGTATTGGCGGAGCGCAATTCATAGAAAATCCTGCAGGTGAGAGCTGACAGCTTTTGAAATTCTCGCAAAACTTTTGAAAGATTTTTTGCAGGTATTCCCGTAGGATATGGCCAAATACAAGGAGTTCCTCTAACTGTGCCATTCCAGACAAGATTACAGCCCATTGTAAAGCACAAACATCGCCTGTGATGTTGTCTAAACAAAGTTCCTTGTTGAATTTGACGAAGACCTCCTTAATCTGTATATTGGTCTCATGTAACTATGATAGTGTTATGTTTCTTATGTATTTCTAGATACCGTAATAAATAAGAAGGCCTGTTGGTGCAATATGCTGCCGTAGACACCAAATATCAACTAGACCTGATCGTAAATGTTCTATCAGATAAACGTTCTGTCAGATTCGTATTTCACCAAAATCTCGACAGGGCAAAGAGTAATGTCCACACTTCTCCCAATTTTGTAGAAAACATTGAATAGGTGATAATGCGCATCATGGCTAACTCGAAGAAGTCTCATTTTCACTCTCCAGTCTTAAAAAGGTTTTCATTCATTAAGATCGAAAAACATTGTTGTGTCCTTCCCAACAGAGGCCGACCCGACAATTTTTATATGTATGATTCGAACTGAGTCCACATTCCCGATCAGCATAACGTCTGGTAGCACCACGCTCCAATGCAGATTTCTGGAGTGGTTTGAGATTTTGCCTCCTCCTCAAGTTTAGGAATTGTCGAAATGACATTCCTTCGCCAGGAAACTGCTTCCCACATCTTATACGCAGATTTTGGAGGAAGTTTGATCGCTGCGAGGATTCTATAGCTTGTTTCTCAGTGAAGTTTTTTTGGAGTAATTGAAAACACTTGTCTATTACGACGTAACTAATTTTTACCTTCAGTCGCTAAGCTCGCTATCCGCTCTCAAAACTTTTAATAATAAGCACTTTATGGGAGGGAGATGTGGGATATATGTAGGTAACAGTGGCGTACCGAGGGGGGGGGGGCGGGGGGGGGGGCGCCCCCCCCCCGAGAATGGGTCGCGAAATTTTTGAAAGTTACTTATATGGCTTATAAAAATGTGCAAACGACTTGTTTTTTTGTAAATAATTAAAATACTTTTTAAAAATTTTTAAAAATTCAAATTCTTGTAAAAAATTTTTTTTCGGGGGCGTGGCTGACGCCACGCCCCCTTTTTTTAGAGTTTAGGGGTTGGAGACCCTCAAACATTTTGAGAAACACCCCTAAAAATTTTTCGGAGTGCGTGGCTAACGCCACGCACCTTCATTCAAAAAAAATTTTTGTCGCCCCCCCCCCCCCCGAGCCGAAATCCTGGGTACGCCACTGGTAGGTAAGCATTAATAACAGGAATGCCCTGCACCTTAACTAAACCATACGACAGAACTCATAATGGCAGGCGCTGCCTTTATGAACCCCGATAACCTTTTCGAGCAGTGGTTGCCAGTGTTGGCGTATGTTTCTTTTGCTTTCTTGCTCATGACAAAAAAAAACAATTTTTCACCTTCTCAAGCCCGCCTCTCAAAGAATCTGATAGCAGCCATCGAAAAGCTTGTAGGACGGCCACTTTCTTCTTGCTGCTTTGCTTCCAAAAACATAACCTTATTTTTGACCCAAGGAGTAAAGTTAGTAAGACTTTCACGCAGCGCCCGACACGAAGTGGTGCCAAGAGTTTTCCAGACAAAGCCCCTATTCGATTTCAACAAGCTTTTAGAAAGACTTGTTTGGCTTTTCCAGAGCCGTCTCAGCAATTCGCATAGTTTTTTTTTCATATCTGGGCTTCCGCTCTAAAGTGAACCAAGGCTCGGTACGAGGCTGCTCCGTCAATTTTTTGGAAAGTTCCGTTGAATTTGCAAAATACGACATCCCCTAGGACATGCTCGTAAATGGATCAAACATGAATAACAAAGAAGCTTAATGCACAAACAACATTAAACAGACGTTAGAAAACTATTGTGCTCGTATTCTCCAGTCTAGCGAAATGCTGTTCTGGCGTGCACCACAGCGCGCTTCGAGCAGGATTGCCGCTGCCATTCAGAATCTTTGAAAGGCTGTAAATGGTAGGGGGAGGAGGTTTGGGAGGTTTGGAAACTAGTTTATAGGGTTTTCGATGTAGATTGGTTTACGCAAAAAAGTGAAAAAAGTTCTTGAAGACAGGGAAATTTATGACTTCGTTTTCCCTGAGCCTCCTCAGGTGGCTCTTCAGTTGGCTCCAAAATCACCCCACGAAAAAAGTTTGCCTAGTTCACAGTCCACATAACTTTTCATATTTCTCGCGTAAAATTTCAACTCCTTATTGCCCATCTCCACACCAGTTTGGCGTCACGTCATTTTCTCTTCGCTCAAGTCTTTTGTTTATATCGGGCACTTTCTCAAATTACGCATTTGCACGGAGATCATATTGGAGCGGGAAACTGTCGGTCTTGCAAAGAACAGGACAAGCTGTGGTGGACACTTGATATTCTCCAGAAGATGAGGGGGTGGAACAAAAGAGGGGGTTGTGAGGGAGGGGGATGAAAATCGGGCGTATGTACAATACCGCTCACATTTTTTGAAAAAAAGACGCGAATGTATGGACATGTATGGACATGTACGGACATGTCCATACATGTATGGACATGTCCGTACATGTCCGTACATGTCCATACATGTATGGACATGTCCATACATCAGCGTCGCTTGACCATATCTCGCTTCAGAGTGGACGAATTCTGAATCCAAGGCCACCATTCGATTCAGCTCGGCGCGGAGAACCTTCTGATGTATTGGAAGTGGGGGTACGATGTTTTCGATATTCCGTTTCCAGTTTTTTCAATTTGTTCTGCGGAGGTCCTTTCGCGAATATGTGAAGCAACGCCTACCCAACATAGAAGACTTTACTAAGTACTATTCGATAATACTGTTCTTGTAAATTTTTGTGCGCTAAAAAATAGGCTCAGACTTCTTTCCAAAGGAGGTGAAAGCGTTGGTGAATTTTGGAAAAATCACGCGTTTCTAAATTCTACTCGCCATAACTTCCTTCGGAATAAGTATATTTTGAATCCGAAAACTGCGCCTTGTTCAGCTCATCAAGTCGAATCTTCCTATGTACAGCATGTCCTTGTTATTTCGATTTCAGTATTCTTGAATCTTTCTGAGGACGTCTTTTCGCGAAGGTGTAATGCAGCGAACATTGTCCCGAGTACATTTCAGCAAGGATCTTTCGATAGCAGTTTTTCTGTAGATTATGATGTGCTAAATAGTAGTCGCAGGTTTCTTTTCAAAGGAAATAGAAAGGCTGGTGAATAGTGGAAAAATCTTGTCGTCCCAATTTCTACTCGCCATATCAGCAGGATACGAAGCTATCTTGCTAAGCAGATGTGAGTTTCGAAATCAGCAGGTCGCATAACCTCTACGAGCAAGTTTTCTGATATGTTCGGGTCATTTCATTTTTCTCGCTTTACGCTCCGGAAGCGCGCCGATGGATTTTGGTCAAAATGTTGATGCTCTTGAATTGTAAGGAAACTTCGCTTATAGAGGTTTTCGAACATGCTCTTTACGAAAATCGTGGTCTTTGAGGATTACAGGGTCTCTTTGGAGAGATACGGTGAGGTGACTGTAACTTCATCACGAAAGTACGTAACTTTGGCCGCACTTCTCGCGTATCTGTCAGAAAGCTTGCCTGCTTGCTTTTCTCAGTCAAAGTTACTAGGAAGTGTGCTATCGAATGGTGTATTACTCAGGCTCCAGTCTGTGAAATTCGCCGAGTTACGAGCCTACAAATACACGTCCTCATGAATTTTGCCCAAATTGTAAAGATCGCATATCTCGTCGAAATTCCACCGCGAGCGCTTGTATTAGGTCATTCGGAAAATTTTTTCGTTTTTGCACCTCCAAATTCAAACGAGCACAATTTTTCCCTGATTTAGCCTTTTTCCATCAAATAAACTGCATTGTGTTCAGCAAATTTCTTTTTTCTTGCGGAATGATCTCAGAGGAATCACTAAAGCCTGAAAAGGCGTTTTTGATTAGTCAATCTCTATTAGGTCCTATTATTTTTTAATAGGCACCGAGGAATTGGAAAATTCGGTGACTGGTAAAGGAAGGTCTAAAGAGTTTGAAAAATAGACAGGAACCTCGGTGCGCAGTCAACCCCTTTTGTGAGAGCCACTTTTTGTCGTAGATTATCCAAATAATCTACAACCTTTAGCATTGTAGATCTACCGTGTATGTTATATTTAGCATATCTGTTAGCCTGTCGTTGACAAACCGTATTGTTCACTGACCACTCAAGCCGCCAGGTCACCCCTCCGCTGTGCTTGATAGTCTACTTGGCGGCGCCTACTTTCATGTAGGCAATCCTTCATGCTGTATGATACTATTGTTTACCAGAAGTGAGCATTCAGGTTATCCACGCCCAAAATAGTGGCATAAAAGGACCTGAATACTCAGTTCTGGTGTTGGTTCGATTATTACCACTATCGTCAGCGGCTGTTCCGCATATTCACTGTTGATAGTCAGCGGCTGCTCCGCTACTATCGAATAAACAGTTATACAACGTAGTGGTACCAGCTTGGTGTATACCAAACTTTTCTTACATGTAGTTTGGCGGAGTCATGAGCGTGGATGGCAACTCTCATAGCTTATACGTGCAAGTCTGCTCAGTTTTGAAATTTTGACAAACAGTCTTCAGAGCGACACCACACTACTCTGCTCTTACAGTACAATAGCATTTTAGCAAGTTTATAGCGTACAAGACCAGCAGGATTACATTAATTTGAGTGCATCAACCTTTTGGAATGATAGATTGTTCTGGTCATGCTTTCAATGCTTATTCCAAATGATTTACCACATTGTCGCTTCTCATTGCCGCACTTAGACAATTTTTTGCTGTAATTAATAACTCAGGCTGGAAAAGGATTGCTACATAAAATTATGAGCGATGAAAGCAGAGTCAACGCGCCCTCAAACTGCGATTGCGACAATTTGTGGGTACATGTCGCTGAAATTTTTCGGTATTGCAGCTTTAGCGAAGGTGGCTCCTAATAAGGTTATATGACACTTCAGGGCCTGCTGATAATTTTACGCAGCTATAATTGCGATTTAAAGGACCCTATGAGATGCTCGTTTATATGGCAGAAACACCTTCCAGGACACTGCAAAATATTAGCTTTCACTTCTCTAGATCTGAACTTCCTGAAG